AATTTTCTGAAGAATAAAATTTTCATTTTGAGGGGTTTTTTGAATTAAAGGTCAAAACGACCCTTTCAGGTGGGAGCTAATGGATTAACATGATTTTCAAAAATATTTCCCATAAAATTTTACTATATACGTCTTATGCTTTAATTTCGCTCAAACATTTATTTTATCCATTTTTCCTCTTTTTTTAAATTACTTGAGCCGGAAGATGAAAACTTTAGTAGTAGTGTTTCGCGCTCGTTCATTGGTAATACAACGGCTTAGTTTCCCTGGCCCTGGTTTTGAAGCTATAATGTCAAGAGCCCTAAATTTTCGAAAAATCTCTCAAAGTATGGTCCTTTTATACTTAAAAAAATGTCTATAAATATTTCGGATGTGCAGTTTTGTAGCCCATTGAATTTTACTTATTACACTAAAGTGCAAATTTTAATTTGCTAAAAAAACGCGTTGATTTTTGGAAATTTGTTTAGCTCAGTGCCATGCAATTTTTCCATGCGAATTATGTTTGACAATATTTTTTTTTATATGGCAGTTACTTCATCAAGCTAGCTTAACATAAGCCATTGTGGCGCATTTCTAAGCGTTTTAAAGAAGGTTAGAAATATTTGCGATTTCCTTACGTTCCACATGAGCTTGGCTGTGTTGTGTATGTCCAATTCTTTTACGCGCTTCTTTTAACAGTAGCTCTCTAATGAGGAGCTTGCAGGAAACAAGTGGTATGGCTAACCTCTTGCAAATCGATTAAAATAGGGTTACAATGTCCTGGTCCCATACCAAATGCATACCAGCCTGCTCTGTCATCACATTGGGCGTCTGGTATTCTTACTGTGCATATTCTGTAATTTTTATATCCTTACAACTGTATGATGTCATCATTCTTCTCTCTTTGCGTAACATGATAGTTTGTGATAACGTACTCATACATTAAGTTGTCAGAAATCAATTACACTTAATACAAATATACATACGTCACCTCAATACGATTGCGCTGCCGGGGTACAAGCTTTGATGCTTCCTCCTAATGTTAAGGAATACACACTGCTGCAAATGAAATAGTTAGCAAAATCAGTTTAGCTATTTACTCAACAAACTGAAATTGCCAAATGATAAATGTCCCATTCGTAGCTGTTAATCAGTTGGTGAATATCCCGGATGAGCGGCTATGTGTGTAAGTATGTATATCTTTTTGGCCGCAGCTTCAATGCATAAAATCAAGTGTCCATACCGACCTACCGGTCTGTTGCGTTTATATTTATTTATGTATGTATGTATGTAGCTATATTGCCCTGTGATAAATCAGCACGTCTGTATACATATGTATGTAGTGAACAGCTAGAGTGGACATTTATCAAAAGGCCAGTTGGCCAATATTGCTTCCGGACCAGGTCAGTTAAGTTGTGAAAATCATGGTTTATCTTTTCCATTGCATCGCAACACTTTTTCACTGCCCTCCCATTTCTATTTAGTACATATACCGGAAATAGATTGTTTACATGGCGCTAGCATAGTGGCAATGTTGTTAGCCACATTCAACGTTGGCCGGAATTTCGCAAAACATCTACTTTAGTCTCCAGTTTTATTGGTTTATCCTGCTTTCGTATACATACGTATGTACATGCATATGTAGGTGTCGATGTGTATGTGTTTTTGACACTTGGCATTTTCTACAATTTCATTTGCCATCAACCGGCATTCCTACAGAATTCTTTGACTAACTAACACAAGGCCACAAACCCAAGTGTAAGGTAGAAATTGGCTGTAAAATAAGCGTACATAGGGAATAAAAATTTCATTTGCTTCATTTCAATTTCAGAGTTATAATCCGGTTTGCTTTTCATATTATATCTCACATTCGCGTATACTATCTTATTATGGGTTTAAAGCAGTGCCAGGCAAAATACACAGGCACACATAGCCTCGTGTAACTACTGGCTGCTTGGCACTGATTTTAAGAAATATCTGAAATAAATAGCGTTTGGTTTATAATGTATAGTAAGACGTTGTATAACCTGACTTACTATTTTCAACATTACACGTTTTTTAAATATTTTCGTTATATAAAATCTTTTTCATTTATTGGGCTAGTTAAATTTGGTTAATCGATAAAGTTAGAGCTTAAAAAATGTATGGTTCTTTTTTGGTACGCAATATCCTTCAGTGAAGAAAAAAATGCACAGCCAAGCTTATTCCCGATCTATCAAAAGACGCACAATAACATTAGACATATACCGTAGATGATGACGTTAAGGACATCTGCATACTCAGTTGGTCTAGATGCCCTGCCACTCATTTCTACTTTGCAAATTATTATTTTTATTACAATCATCCATTCATCGAAAATGTGTATTTTCCCCCGTTCTAAAAAATTTTCTTTTTACGACCTGAAAGTTGCAATTTTTTATATAGATAATACATGCATACATACATATGTATGTACATACAAATGTAGACTACAAACACGCCATATAAAGTCGCACATAAAAGGCTGCAGTTTTACGGCTCACTACTTTATATTGTAAATTTTATCATTCGCCCACCGTGTGGCAATATTAAGACTTTTCCACACTTTTTCCAACAGACCGCAGTGTTATCTGGTGTTTCTTAATTAAATTTGCCAATTTTACGCTGATCTTTAAACTACAATGACATTACCACCTCGCTTTCATGGCAACCTCAACCATTGTCTGCTACTTACTTTCTTAATTTACAATTTTATTCTCTTTTTTTTTTAGGTCTTTCTTCTGGCGCACTGTGAAGATAATGTCCTTTATGTGCGCACATTGGCCACAGGCAAGGAATTGCATGCGCTCAAAGGACACAAGTCGCAGGTAAGATAAAAATATACAAAAACTACAAATAAATGTTGAACTTTAAGAAAGGGAGTGAAAATCTTTAGAAATGATTCAATTACTTGGAAGGAAAATAAAAAGCGTGTAAGGTGAATAGAATTGAGCTGAAACATTCATTTATATGTGTTTTTTTTGCACACTACATTAAATACATATACATATGTAGTTAGTGTCAAAAGACATATGCGACAAGAAAACTATATTTAGATTGCATAGATTGACGGCCATAGGGAAATTCATTTACAAACCCCTTTGGGCACAGGTAAGTTGGGGCGAGAAGCAGAGCAGCACGGATTACATCGCACCCTGCTTTAATTGGGAACGAAGGTTTTCGTATAACGATTGCTGAACAGGAATGGCGCAAAGGAATGAAACCAAACCGTAATACCTAAATATTTTCACGGAAAGCTTTAACATGGTAATGGGATTGGAACTGAATGTTAGGCGGACAGTAAGATTACCTGACCACTGCATTATATTTCAAGCAGATATTTGCTATGAGGATAACAGCAGATCTGGCATAGAGAGAAATTAAAATCAAATCAAAAATAACCTTATACGTACATAGACAGTCAGGCGGCAATTAAGGCAGTTAAGTACCTCATGGAGTATTTTATCCACAACGTCCTTTGCAGTCGGGATGCCGTTCAAAGGCTGGCCGCAAACTGAAAGCTGCATATCTAAAGGGAACCCAACCACAAAAGAATAGAGTATAATGAAATAGCAGATGAGGATTCCGAGAACGCTATCAGTCTGAGTCTCGAACAGACAATTCAGGGCTAGATGAAATAAGTTAACCACCTGCGAAACTGCAAAAATTATTTGCGAAAACAGCAAAAGCTACCAAGGAAGGATTGCAGAGTTGTTACCGGTTTCTAACTGGGCACATCCGGGTGGTAAAGAATGGATATCGCTAACATGGACGGGTGCCAGAAGCATCGTGAGCGGGAGACCAGGGAAACCTTAGATAGTCGTCTCTGCTGATGTGCCAAAAACAAGCCAAAAATACCTAGCGGCCTATAAATCTCAAAAGTAGAGCTGAGATTCGCAAAACGCATCGTTTGTGATATCTACTTCGACTTCATATGGCAACACTAAGAACCTACCACTCTATGTGTGGCTCAATCCCGGACAAATTAACCTAATCTAAACTAACGCAGGCATGACCGTCTATGCATCTCTCAGAATTTTCAGACCAATCAGTCTCTCTTCATTTATTTAGAAGATCCTTGCGAGATTAATTGTGTTCCCCTTTAGAAACCAAAGTATTTGGGAACGTTTGTACTTTAATCCGTATACCCACTGAAATCGCAGATTGGTAGAAGAAGCCCTGCACTCAATTATAGAATGTAACAGAATGATTATGCACAGGCTTTTAAGTACATATATGTTACCTGAGACAATTCAATATAATCATTTCCGAGGTAATGTGAATTTCGAAGCCGACCTTGTCAGGATTCATTTGCTCACTGGCAGAACTGTAGCGACGCAGTTAGGTAGTTATTCAACCCATGAAGTAGTGAGTAGAGATAACTCACAAATCCTACGAGGAAGAAACTCATCTTCCTCACTAGGGAGTAGAATATAGGCATTCTCCTGGGGCTTTTCGATAAAGTCTAGTACTTGGGCTTGGTTCTAAGCATTTAGCTTTCATGGAAGCCTAAGAATGAGGAGATAGTGCAGAAAGCAATAGTGGTTATCTACGCTTGCGGGGGGCAGGTAATTTTCTGGCTCCTTGCAACCATAGTGAATGGAATGCACTAGAAAATAATAAGGTAGTCAATATTCTGAAGCGACTATGACGGACTGTTCTCATTGAAACCAATGGGACACTTAGGGCCAGTGCCGATATAGTAAAAAAAAGTTGCTGCAAGAAAGCGTTAAAGTCTAATATTCTTGAAGGTTTCGAATTTATCTCTAATAACACGGATAACTACATACGCGGCTAGACTGGCAATAATTAGCTCTTTCTTCAATCGCCTCCTCTCTACAATGAGTGGGCGGTAGGAAGTAGTTGAAAAGAGACACCGGCGAACTTTTAGACGAGTGGGTCGAAGCTTGGCGGAAGGATCGGTGAAGGCGTCTTTAACAAGGAACTCTCCATTAATCTTAAGTTTCGGCTTCCATATCCTCTTGATTTTGGGCATTGTTACCTTTGGCCGATTTCTTTTTGCAATCTTCAGCAGCCTCCAGGCAGATCCAGCTGACGTTAAGTAAACAGTAGATTGCACAGTTAATCTGCGCAATGTCGACAATGAAGGTAAATGTCTACACTGATAAGCAAGTGGTCACTCACAGTAAGCTGAAAGTTAGTTGGCAAATACCTGACCTCTCTTTTGGTATCGATTAAATATTGCTTTCTTCTTATTTGGCGTTGTAATGAGTATTGCCTTGTCTTACTTTAAAATGCAGGCGCCAGGCCATTACAAAAGACTAAGTTAGGGCTGAGCTAGTCAATTAAGCCAACCTCGAGTTGGCGTCAACAATAAAATGGAGTTTGAAAGTACTTTTTGACTAAACGATGACTCCCTTAGACACACAGTCCTCGTGTCTCAAGATCTTTCTTGCCAAAGGTAGACCAAAGGCGGTCAAGGGATCTCCCTAGCCAAAGAAACCGAAGCCCTCAATTTTGGTGGACGTATTAAAAGAACATTTTCCGACAGGATTTCACAAAGTGGGACTACTATAAATACCGCGCTGGATCTTTACTATCACTGCTGTTTGGAACACGGCAAACACGGCCTCTAACAACATCTTCCTATATTGCCCATATTTGGCAAGGCTGCAGTCTAAACCCCTGCGATCACACTTTTTAACCATCTCATGGGAGAGCTCCCACCATCCGTAAAATTTTCATTCTTGGCTCACAAAGTTCAGTCATTATAACTGGGTAGTTTGGTAACTGAACCTGATCCAACTCAGCCAAACTGTGGATCGTTTTCTTTAATGACCTGCTGGATTCTATGGAAAAACGGGTTGTCGGTAGTTGCCTTTGTTGACGACATAGCATTTATTGTTAATTTATTTATTTTCAAGAGTATAGATGGATACCTGAATTCCCGGTTAGATGTAAATGCCAACAAACTGGAGCTCGTTTTCTCACAAGGAAACAGAAAAGCTTTGCAATTATGCCTGTTTAGAGGGCCATCATGCTTTTTTCGTCTTTGGGTTAAATTATCTAGGCTTAATTCCACTCAGTAAGCTGCCATGGAAGCCAAATATTGAGAAAAGTGGAAATAGGCCATTGGCAAGCGCTAAGTCCTCTCCCTGCGCGTAGTTTATTGGCTCTACAAAACCATAACCAAACCTGTAGTGCTGTATGACATTTTTGGACTAACGAGAGCAAAGACTTACTTTATTTAGAATCCCCGTCATAGCTCAGACAACCGTCCCGCTGCGCTATAAGTTTATGTCTAATTTCTGATGCTCATATATTCGAAGAGTACTCCGATATTGGAGAGTTCATACCGACCGACACATTTCTGGGTCGTAGAAGGATTTTTTGGCAAAGGGGAGACCAGGATGAGTTTAAGAAACCTGTAGATCTAAAACAAATCAAAGACCTCTTTAATGGTGAGCCGCCTAAAATTCTTAATTCAGAAGCTGTTTGGATGGATATTAAGTGAATCATTTCAATATCTATCACTCAGCTGCCCCGGTAATGCGAGTTTACTCCCCGTGTTTCGCACCCTCTCGACTTTGTTGTGAAAGCTCGGCGTTTTTATACTACAAAAAATCTATTCGTGGAAAGCAAAAAGTATTAATAAAAAGTCCCTAAACATACTTAATTGCTGAAAATCGGTTGTGCTTTAGGTTTGCCCAGTTTATCAGAAACTAATGATTTCCTTAGATCTCTCCAGATAAATTTCTTACCATCTCTACTCAAAAGCATTAATCCTAACTTGCGATCTCTCCGCCAGCTCCATGCCATGACCATCGCTAAGGACAGTCAACGTGCCGTTGTTGGAGGCGACGATACACGCGCGCTCATTTACGACATGCACTCCGGGCGCCTAATCCGCTCAATGCCACCCAACCCCGGCTCGATCACTGCGCTCCATATGATGGATAATGATGATTTCCTCATCACAGTTGGCGGCAATAAAATTACCTTCTATTCCTTCCGCAACGAAGAAGTCTACGTGCACCCCTACTCACATAATCAACGTAGAAAACGTTCATTAAAGCGGGCACAACAGTCACAACGTTCGCCGTCGACAACACTACCACCGATAACATGTTTCGATATTTCACGTGATTCACAATTGGCTGCAATCGCTTCGAGTCGTAGCGTGCATATCGTAAAGATCAACACGCCCGAATATCAGACCACGCTGGACGGACACGCCGCGCCCGTGACTTGTGTGAATTTTGCGCCAAACGGTGAATACCTGACCACTGGATCGGATGATCGAACCGTGAATGTGTGGAGTTTGGCTTTGAGTGAGGTGACCAATGCGTTCAAGGTGAGATTAGTAGATTATGGTGTATTTGAATATTACATAATTTATTTCACATTCTTGTGTATACGCATTAGGGTCACAATGCTTCAGTTAGCTGCGTTGTAGTGCTTATGGATTCGCGTCGCGTTATCTCAACCGATCGTGACTCGATGATGTATGTGTGGCTGGCTGAGGGTGGGAATTTATTGCAAACAATACAGGGCCCATACAAGTTTTTGGCCGCAACAAATAACATGAAATTCGCAGTGAGTTTCGTTGCAACAATAACAACGCTTTGGTTTACATGCTCGCCTAAATTACTGCTGTTCTTTATTTCTGGCATAGGTTTCTACGAACGGCGACAATACTTTGAAGATCTGGTCGCTCACACGCGAAGATGAAAAATACACTGTCTCACATTCGGACGAAATTACCTGCTTTACCATTACCGCCGACAGTTTGTATGTAATAACCGGCTCGCGTGATATGTCGCTGAAAGTGTGGCAAGCAACTGGCGGCAAGCTGGCGCAGGTGCTGGTTGGACACACCGATGCGGTTAATTGTGTGGCGGTTTCGGTAACCAACAAGACACAGGTAATATCCGGTTCGAAGGATACCAATCTTATAATATGGGATTTACATACGGGTGAGGAGCTACACACGTTGGCGGGTCACTTGGCTCCTGTGCTGGGTGTGAAGGTGTCAGCAGACGGTGAGTAAAAGTGACTGCATATGCTGAATGAATACCGGATTTTGAATGCAATTTTAAATTTACTCAGGCTCTACTGCAATTTCGGGTAGTGACGACAAGACGCTCATCGTGTGGGAGACCAAACGTGGCTTGGCGCTCACCTCACTCCAAATGCATGTGCCCTTCCAACGCTTTGACATTAGTCTTGAATGTTCTCGCATTTTAGTGCAATTATTGGAGAGCTTCAATTTGCCCGTCATTTGTCTGCACAATACGCCAGCGCAATATGTCAAGTTGCCCACATACTCGGCACCAGCAATGGATGCAGAAGGTTTGTGGTGCTCCTAACTCACACTAAAGAAAGCAAAAGCTACTCATTAGCATCTCATTTCTTATCTCTTCTATTTTTCCTTGCAGATTTGCGACCGCAGGGCCCGAAACGTCAAATGAAACGTCTTCTCAAGAAGGAGGTATCATTAGACACTTACACCTGGCAAAAGAAGTACGGTCATCTAACTTCTTCGGTGATGATGGCTCAAGTAGATGAACGCTTGAAACGTCGCTTCTCGGTATCTGCAAGCATGGAAGAGATCTCGAAAATCGCCGAAATGAAAACAATCACATCGCAGACCAATTTAGGCCCCGAACAAGCCGCCTTGGCGCAATCACAGCATTTCGATCAGTTGGAGGCTTTATGGAATAAGCGTTCGCCGCCGAGAAGGAGACACAATGCGGTAGGTTTAAATTAAAAAAGCAAATGTTTTTTTCAAAACTTTGTTATATTTTTTAACAATAGAATGTGTCTAACTATATAGATACTATATATGTGCATTAGGGTGGTGCAAAAATACTCTGGAAAATCAGAAAAATTTATTTTTTCTGCTGCCATCCCCAGAATTGTGAATTAAGGAAAAAATAAAGGCGTTTTTCTTACTTTGAAATCGGTTAATATTTAATGTTTACGCCGGGAATTTGATATTTGTCTTTGNCGAAGGAGACACAATGCGGTAGGTTTAAATTAAAAAAGCAAATGTTTTTTTGAAAACTTTGTTATATTTTTTAACAATAGAATGTGTCTAACTATATAGATACTATATATGTGCATTAGGGTGGTGCAAAAATACTCTGGAAAATCAAAAAATTTTATTTTTTCTGCTGCCATCCCCAGAATTGTGAATTAAGGAAAAAATAAAGGCGTTTTTCTTATTTTAAAATCGGTTAATATTTAATGTTTACGCCGGGAATTTGATATTTGTCTTTGAAATTTTACTAACCACTTTTTCACAACCGATAATCCTATCTTTTGCATACGAAATGCGTTCGTGCGAACAGCTCAACGGATTTGATTAATTCGTTTATTAAATATGCAACATAATTTTAGTTCTTGAAAATTTCTGAAGANAAAAATCAGTTATTCTATGCGTTCGTAACCGCATCTCGTGCGAGCAACTCAACGGATTTGATTAATTCGTTTATTAAATATGCAACATAATTTTAGTTCTTGAAAATTTCTGAAGAGAAATATTCGTATTCGATTAAAAACTTTTTAACAATCCTTATACCAATTCTGCGATATAATTTAGATCAGGGGGTGGCTGGAAAAAAATTTTACCACCCTAATATACATATATTGTACTACCATGACTTCCGATTATATCTGTAAATTTCCTAACTAATACACTGACAAGCATAAATATGTATAAATATGGTTAAATTAAAGTAAAGCTTTATATTAAACATTAGTAACTAAAACCAAAATCAGTAGCAGAGTTGCATTGTGCTTAAGGCTGCTTCGCTCTCAAAACTTTTTGTAATTAGTTAGTTTTAAATAGTGCTTGGCTTCATTGTCTTTATTAGCATTGCGATCACCTACAAAGCTTTTGACTAGTACAAGAAATAAAAACATGGCCAATAAATTACTGGCATGCCGCATGCCATTCGAGAGATCCACGGTTCGAATCCTCGGTCAGTGGAATTTTTTAATTTTTAATTCAATTTTATTTTAGTTGGGTTTTATTTTAGATAGAAAAATAATTGTTTTTTTAAGTTACATTACATTTTTATAAATATATTTTACACACTTCTTTTTTTTTATTGATTAATTTTTTATTTGTTTTTTATTTTATTTATATCTTAGATTTTAGTGTTTTAAAAAGAAAAATACTTTTTAATTTAATTAAATTTTTAGAAGCTTATTTTTTCTTTTTATAATTTTTTTCTTTTAAATTTTGGAGTTTATTCTTTTGAAAAAATAATATATATATTTTTTTAATTCAAATTCAATTAATAAAATAGTTTTTAGAAACTTGTCTGCTTCTTCTTAATTCAATTTTCTTTTACTTTTAATAAACAAAAGGTTTTTATTACTTTTCTTTAAATTTTTAGATTTTATTGTTTTAAAAAGATTTTTTTTTTTTTTCATTTAATTTTTAGTATCTAACTTATATTATTTTTTCTTTTCTTTAATTTACTAATTTTTTAAATTGTAGATAATATTGTTTCAAAAAAATATAAAATTTTTTTATTTTATTCAAATTGTAGAAACTTGTTTTATTTTATATACTTACTTTTTTCAATTTAATTTATTTATTTCATTTTGTTTGGGGTTTAAGTTTTTGTTGTTTTAAAACAGGAAAATACATATATATGTATATATTTTTGTTTATTTCTTTGTTTAGTTTATTTTCCTATTTTATTTTATTTTTAAAAAGAAAAATATTTTTTTTTTCATTTCATTTCATTTTTGGAAACTTATTTAATTTTTTTTTAATTTTTGATTTTTCTTAATTCTTAAATTTGATTGTTTTAAAAAGAAAAATTTTTTTAGAAATCTTATGTTATCTTTTCTTTTTTAATTTACTATTCTTTTAATTTTTAGATTATATTGTTTAAAAAAAATATGTAAGTTTTTGTTTATTTCAGTACGATTTCAGGAACTTAACTAATTTATTCCTTTTTTTCAATTTATTTTTTTTTAAGTTTTAAGTTTTAATTGTTTAAAAAAAGAGAAACAGTTACAATCTTATGAATCAAATGAATGGGAGATGGTCGTTTAATAATTCTGATACGATTTCTCGGAAGGCCTTAGCCGAAGAAGTCCTGTAGATAGATTTCTTTCTTAATTATTTTGGTTCTTCTTAGTGCATGAAGTGGCAGCATTTATATTATTTGGTGCTTCATGTGCTAAAATCTGAATCAAGTTTTCAAAATACGCGCGCTTAGCTACTGGCTCCTCCACTTTTTGGAGGTTATTGAGATTAGGATACCTTTAACAGTTAAAAATATGTATATTAAAACGTTTTGAACCTAGTTTCAAACGCTTTGAGAGTTATATTCTTAATCGCCAGAGTTGCCAACAACTAGTATTATAGTCTATGTACATAACGAGTATTGCCAGCTATTACTATTGGTTTAGTATTTATATTGTATAATAATTTTGCTATTTAAGTACGATTTATGTAGTTATGTATGCCTTTGAAAACATTTTTTTTTAATTTCGCTTCTTTCCTCTTTTGTTCTTCTTCCAAAAACAAAATACGGTAACTCTATTAATAATAACAATGAATAAAAAAACCAATCAAACATCAAACTGCAAATTGTACCCACAAACGTTACTGAACAGGGTCTCTCACGGCAAACATCACTCGTCGAGGATCGCCTTGAGTCATCCGACGACGATGAGTATCACGACGAGCGTACAGGTATGTTTTCCCTTTCGTGCGATCAAATAAACTTATTAGCCAATATTCCGAGCATGCTTCGAATGCGTCCGCTTTCCCTGCAAGAGCACATTTGGCTCACATGTAGTTTGAAGGTACCCATCGCACATCATTTAGCACAAAATCAACACCAACACCAACATGAACATGAACATGAACACAACCATTTCCACCATCACCACCACTATCACAACTCACATCCACACCACACAACTGTTCCAACAACAGCCAGCAGCAGTAATTTCGATACGAATAGTAACAGCAGCGCCAGTGGCCACAATGCCACACAAAATACGCGAAGTAGCGAGCGCAACAACAGCAAGGACAATGCCAACAAAAATCACACACAACAACAAAGGACACACACACATACCTGCGCATGTTTATTGCTACATCATCACCCCCAACAGCAGTCGCAACTACAGCAAAGGCGACGATGCAACAGCAACGCCAGTGCTGTACGTCAACAACCAGATTTAGTACGCGACTTGCAATGTGAAGGCGGCCGCTGTGGCAGCATGAACTCAGCACCGAGTTCGCCTTGTGATGGCGATTGTACGGACAGCGCAGACGATGCTACGGATTATCTGAGTCGCGCACGTCGTCTATTCCGCTGGCGTAGCCTCAAAACGCATCGCGTTGCACACGCCCAAAATTGTCATTCCTTGCAGTCGCATATTTATTTGAATGGCACAGCGACGCAAGCGGCGTCCAGCCATCACAACAACATGCCACCAACAGCCACGCCGATTATCATTGTAGAGAACTATGAGCACCACAATGTGCGTCGAGTGCGCACCAACAGAGTAATGCATCCGCATACCGGGCGCGCCGCATGGGGTCACATAGCCGAGGAAACTATCACCGAATTACGTTGCGCCCAGCAGAAAAATCACTGTGCTAAACAGGATACCACCGGCTCTGACACGCACCAATCACATCTGCCGCCATTGGCTGGCGCAGCTAGTACAACTGCTGTACACTCACGCATGTCCGAGTATTTGCGTCGTAGCTTGCGTATCTCTCGCATCTTCAGACGTGCGCATTCCCAGAGTGAAGAGTCGTCGCAGGCAGCGACTGCGATCGGTGGCAAGGAGAAGCGATACTATAATGTTGTAAATATCGCTACGTGTGACGGGAATGCGAGTAGTGCACTGTGTGATACAGCGCTTAAGATGCATAACAAGCTGAAGTTAAAGAAATTGAAGGAAGATGAGAAGAAACGAACTAAGTCAGTAGAAGGGGAAGAAGGAGACTCCAATAGCGCGTGTGTGACGCAGTAGGAGAGGGGAATAGATTTTACGATTATTTTGGCTCCTTACCAGCAAAACTTGATCCGATTCCTTTCGAGACGACATTGCAATCACTTTTAATTTTTTTTTTTGGTTTGAACTAAGGTATTTGTTAGCAGCATTTCAACATTTACTTGTACTTTGTTGTTGCATCTGGTCTCTAGAGAGTTAAAAAATAGTCTGCTTTTTTTTAATATCATCATGTGAAACAAAAAAATATACAAAAATTTTAATTTAAAAAGACTTGGTGCGACTTTCATTCTTTTTAAATTTTCTTGCTTCTAGCGGCAACGTTCCATCCTTTTCAAGGCCCAATAAATGGCAATTGTGCTCCTGAATTAGCCGAACGTTTCTAAAACTGGTTTTCAATCGCGTCATTTTATGAAAACAATTTCGCATGCAAATACATATGTACATTTTTACAAATTTAAATTGTCGTGAAAAATCTTTGTACATGCATATGAACATTAGGGTGTCTCACCAAAAAAAAGTTGCAGTTTTGTACCTCAATAAAATTTTTTTTTATTCTAAGACATCCGCTAAAATACACTGCGAAAAGAGTTTAGTTACGTCAAGTAAATATGTTTTTCTCAACACATGATTTGGTTATAGTTACATTATTTGTTTATAGTTACCGAATCATGTGTTGAGAGGAATATATTTGGCTGACTTTTTTCTGAGTGTAGTCAAGGAATGACGGAAACTCGTTCCAAAATAAATCACAAAAAGTAATTCTTGTATCTTGTCTAGTGGCGGTACGCGTTGGCTAAATAAAACAAAAAAAAAAAAAAACAATCTTTTGTCAGAAAATGTATGTACTTTTTGAAAAAGTTTTCTAAATAATATATTTTACTAGTGTTTCAAAACAGTTCTTGGTGATTTAGTGCATTTTTGAGCATGCAATTGCTCATAAAAAAGATCAATATTTCAAAAATATGTTTTGCTATTAACTTTTACATAATTAACAATATTAACCCTCCACCTCCGAATTGTTAATACAGGGATAAAAACGCGCCGATTGATATCCCTTCTGTTATTTTTGGGCGTTTTTTTTTTGCAAGTAGTACCTTCAACTAGAGCTGTGCACTAGTTAGGTAAACATTTCACAAAAAATTATCAAAGGTGCAATAACGCCATAATGCCTTTATTTCACTTTCACAGTGAGAAATAAGACCATACGCAAATATATGGCCTTATTTCTCAATGTAAAGTGAAACAATGTCATACGGCGTTATTTTCTATGGCTTTATTGCACGGCGCCAAAGCCAATACCTCCAAAAAAAATCTCATTATTTTGATGCCGTTGATAAAATCAACCAAGCATATATGAGCAGTGAAAAGAAAAAATGTTAACATTTGTATGCAGGCCCTCTAAGCTTAAACTATTCTATCTAAAAATATAATTGATTTTATAACTGTGATTGGAAAACAGCACCGCCTTTTTTGTATGAGTGTGATGCACTCTAATGTACATAAAATTTTCAACAATTTAGAGACCACATAATCAAAAAAATCAAATTAGCTGCTCCCATGATAATAAATACCTGTACAATATGCCTTAGTTTAATATGCTTTATGGCAAAAATAAAAAGCAGAAATATGTTTTTTCATACTGAATTCAAATGAAAAATAATAGTAATTGTTCCATTTCTAAATTTCTTTAAATTTTTTTTTAAATATTTTTCTGCAAATTTTTTAAACTTAAACCATTTGTCATTTGAGGGAAATTAAAAAAAATCTTTATGAAACTATTTTTATTCATAAAAAACTCCATTTTCGGAGGTATTTTTAAAACGGTCCAGCTCACTTAAATCTTAATATTTTTCCGAAATATTTTGGTGGACGTCTTAAAATATAATAGATTTTGTAATCCCGGCGGAAAAACCGCATTTTTTTTTTGGTGATGCAGTCTAATATACATATAACCCAGCTATCTAAAAAATTGATATTCGATCAATAACAAAGAATATCAAACAAATATATTAGATAAGTAATGCCGGAAACTCATTTTAAAATAAAGCATCGTCTCTGCCTGTCGAAATAATCAAGCAACACCAACAAATAAACCGAAGAATTTATACAGCGCTACATTCAGAAAATTTATAAAATTAACCAAGAATTAGTGGAAACTTCACTGCCTTCATCTGGACTAAACCCGAATAAATCTCCGATTACTTGATTTTTTCCAGCATATTAAATATAAATCACTGACAAGTGTGCACACATTTACACGCTCACACGTACTTTTATTAATGGTGCCATAGTTTGCCTGCTCACTTTAAGAATGTTAAGTACACATATTTATGTTTCCTTTAGGTATTTCAAAATGTTTTTAATAAATCTTCAGTGATATTTTGCATGTAAATTTTGGCTGGATGAAACATTTTCTTCTTTTTTTTTTTGTTGACTACTGTCCCATTAAAAAGCACAAATGCATACATGCTGCATATATTCTCTATATTATCTGCAATTTCAAAATCCTTTTTAGCTAGTTTTTAATTTTAGCAAAATGGAACAACTGTTCGTTTTATATAATTTAGACTTACGTTCACTTTTTACGATTCGCTTATTATTAATTTAAATGTTCAAATATGTATATGAAATCAAGTAAGTATAAGTAATGAATTCAATAAACAGTCGGAATGCATAAAAACCCCTAAATTGAGTGTTTATCAAATATTTCTAAATTTTTTTTTTGTCAGTTGGATTGGACTCGTTTTAGAAGACGCATGCAGTCAACTTTATTTCCGAACCATATGGATAGATCCATGATCGGTCGCCTATCTAGCTATTTCATATACTTTTGGATTACCTTTGCCGATTTATTATATGAGCAAAAATAACAAAGTTTGGCGCCCATTCTCCAAATACCGAATGTTTTCCTAATAAATAACACGAAAATTTTCACAAGTCAAATCGGGCACCATAGCCAAGTGGCTGGACTTGCGTACTCCCACTCTATAGCAGATTTTAAAAATAAATGTTTGCTGTGTGTCTAATTTCCGATTCTCCCTTGTAAAAACCTATCTGCTGGCCGGTAGCACCGTAAAACTTTAGTCCCTACCAATACGCATACCACAAATTGAAAAAAAAGCTCAGCTCGATCGTCTTCAACAAAAAAAAA